TGCGCTTTGCAGAATTATCCAGTGACTCGAAACGGGTAAAGAACGTGTTTAGTTCGTTAGCAAAACTAAATTCATTGTCCTTCACAATAGGTTTAGCTGAGGATGACATTCCTGTCATGGTTTTCATGGTGTCCCATACCTTTTGGGTTTTTTTTGGCTTCAAAAGCATTTTCCAAAAGCTCTCTGTGTGCCAGTTTTGATTCCCTCAATTTGACTTTCAGTTCTTTCTCTGTCTGTTTAAGTGCTCCATAGTCTTCATTTTTGAAAGCTATTTTCCTGGTATTTATAACGGTTTTAATGTCCTTAGTCACATACGATTTATTATTTGGATAGATTTGTATTTCTATAAACAACTTCCTTACTTGAAACAAATAAGCACTAATTAGAGGGTTATTGAGGAAAAACTCTCAACTAATGGCTTATTACTTGTAGAATATGGTCATGTAGAATAAGGCATTAATAAGTGTTTTATAATGACTAATAAAGAGCCAATATACTGCTAATAAGCATGTTAATTAACAACTAGTTGATGGTTAATCTCTGTACCTTAATATGAAGTGTTAGTCTTATTTTGCATTTTCCTTAAATTACAGGTCTCAGATATATAAAAATATATTTAAAAAAAATGTCTGTAAAGTGTTTTGCTCAAAATACCAAACAGATCACCCATTCTAGCCATGCATCACATCCCTCTAATTCACTTCCTGTTACAAAAGTGCTTATTCTGGGTATGAAGCATCAAGGATTATTGTACGGAACCCGTTTTTAGAGATTTGGGTACGGAGGAAAAGAGAGAGGGTTTTATTTTCGGACACTTTGTGAGTTTCCTGACACACTGGGGACACATATTTATAACAGACATAAAAAAGTGCATTTTGCATGATAGGTCCCCTTTAATGTAAAGAATCTGTAATTTCTGAAAAATTGAGATATTGTTAGTACACAACTCAACAGCATACACAGTATAACACAGATCGGATTGTTTTAACACCTTTTAATAACAATAATAACATACAGTGGTAAGAACAACAAGTGTGTTTGTGTTGTTGTAAAAGACTACAACTGTTATTTAAGCATACATCTAAAAATATAAATACAGGCCAGGTTCAACAAAATGAAATAAGGACTTAGTTCTTATTCTGTTATGAATACTGAATCATTTAGGCTAGGACACAGTGTTAAAGTGATATATAATATGGCTTATTGGTAGCTGAATGAACAAAAGAGTTATTATTAACCATTAGAATAATTATGTTTGATATGTTATATGTCAAATAATTTAAAGAGGTTCCATACATCCCGCTTGGTCCCAGAGCCCTTTTACATTAAATAATCAATTGTAACTTCATTAAGTCCAATAATATAACAGAATTAAGATTTTCATTTGTAAGCAAAACTGATTCTTCTGTTGGTGTTTCTGAGGCCACACTGAAAATGCAGGGTTCAATGTCAGTAAGATTTCAAGGGAAACTTGTTAAGGACTTTTTTCAATTTTGGATATACTTGTTTTTGAGTTGTTATATGAATACAAACTAAAATCAAGGCTAGTCCTATTTCACGAAGTCTACCTGAGCTTTGGCTCTGACGACTGAGAGTTTCAGTCGACAACAAAGATGGTACATGAGGACAGGTCTGATGGTCTGATCTCTTATGCCATATATGAGAGAACTAAGGCACCTGGGGAAGAGAAAAATGCACACATATAAAACATTTGTGGTACGCACAAATACTATTCGAGTCAGAATTTTTGAAAGATTTATGAGCAAGGGGTTATAAATGGTTGAAGAGAGACTGAGGCCCAGCTGCACCAGATGCAGCAGCAGAGTTTTACGAGCTTTACGAATTGAAGCTTTGTCTGTGGAGGCCGACCTGGCTGCTATCATCACACCAATATAGGAGCAGCTGACTGCCACACCAGCACATACAAACAGAAGACAAGTATGGACTTTGTCATAATCATCAGACTTTGGTCCACGAAATACGATTTTGTCTGAGCAAAGCTCTTTCATCTGAAGGCTTTCCAGCTCTTCAAATGGAAACTCTAACAGTAGAATAACTCGTGCTAGGATATGAAGTGAACTCACGGCCCAAACAACAATGACAGCCACTGCTGTGTTTCTGGTGGTAATGATGGTAGAGTGCCTCAGTGGGTAGCACACAGCTACATATCTCTCCAGAGACATCACCACCAGTGTGAGAGGAGAAATTTCATTTGTTAGATTGGCAACTATGAGGAGAAGGCCACACACAGTATATGTCAGTGTCATTCTGCCAGTAGAGAGCAGGTAGAGTAATTGGCTCATTGCCATCTGTAGAGTGTCTGCAAAAAGGAGGTTAAACAGAAGAACATAACGGGAGGTTTCACGAAACACCGTTTTACTCCTCAAGGTGAATAACATAACTCCATTAATGAAGAGAAACACAAAGCATGGCACTGTAGTCAGAGTGGACATCAGAATTCTTTCCAGTAACCCCTGATACTGATCAGCAGTGATATTGGTCAAATATAGATTTTCCAACGACATTTACAAAAAGCAATTAAGACATGAACCTATTAAAAAAAAAAGTATTATTCCAGTCTGTACTCCCACAACAAAGAGGATATCAATTCAGCAGAGATGCCTGTTGAGTTCACCTGATGAATCTAAAATCATGCAAATGAATTTTCCCTCCTCCGACAGTGAGCAGGTTGGAGCCCATTCTTGTATCGATGTGAGCTCTACGTGAGCTGAGCTGGTCTGAAGGCTCACACACCCTGACACTGAATATGAGCTTTGTCCTTACAAACACTTCACGTCATCCATCACATGTAACATTTGTTAACAGTTAAGGGCCAAGTCATCTCTCTTTTCTTATTATTGTTAGCAATACATCTAGAAAGAGAGAAAAAGAATGACAACATTTTAAAGGTTTCAAACTACCAAAATGTAAATGTGAGATTCGAAACAAATCCTCTTTCAATTGTCAAACACATTTACAAAGCGCCATACACAAGTCTAATATAATCTCTGGAATAAAACTAATCCTAGTATTAAGCCTGTCACTGAAGGAGCTGCACAGTGCAGACAGGGGGTCCTGGAGAGGGTGGGACACATTGTCCAGCAGGGAGGACAGCTTGGCTGCCATTCTCCTGTCTCCCACCACCTCCACAGTGTCCAGAGGACTCCCCAGGACAGAGCTGGCCTTCTTTACCAGTCAGTTCAGGCGCTTCCTGTCAGCAGCCGAGATGCTGCTGCCCCAGCAGGCCACACCATAGAAGATGGGTGAGGTCATATGTGTGTGTCTGACCAGTCCAGTTTATTGTTCCCATGGAAACCAAGGTACTTGTACTATTCCACAATCTCGATGTTCCCTCCCTGGATGTTAACTGGTTCACCTATCCTAGTATTAGGGGCAGTGGGCAGATGCTATAGTGCAGGGAATATGTGGGGGTTCTGTGCCTTGCTTAAGGGGACCCTGACAGTGATGGAGAACTGGCACCTAATAGTCAATGTTGTTGTGGCAAAAAGACCGGCAAAGGGATTATTACTTTGGCAAAGAAGGTGTTTTTTGCTTGCTAAGTTAATTCTAGGTAGGCGCTGTCTTCTGTGATCTAAAGACATCAGAGGTTTGGCAATGAAAATAAACATGACATATGACCACAGAAGATACGATATATTTCCATAATCTTGAAAAAGTAAATCCTTATAAATGTTTTTATGGACAAAAAGATCGCAAGTTCTTAGTGCACCATTTTTCTAATAGGCTGAAGGCCTTCAAATCAGTCACAAAATGGCATGCTCAAGTGGAATGCAGAGTATTCGCACTTGCGTACATTAAATCAGTTTTTTTTGGGGAAAAAGGGGGTTACCGATCAGCTCCATGGGAGAGAAAGATAGTTTTGTATAAACTCTCTTTCAAGGACGTTTGTCAAAGGCAAATACCTTCAGCCATTGAAAGTGGAAGATAGCTTCCTTGGTTTTGCACTGCAAATCAGAGTAAGCACAACTTGGACCGCTACCCCTCCAGTGCCCTGTACTACGAAGCCAGTTCAACAGACCCTGGATATGTTTGAGTTATCTGGCTTAACTAACCCTAACAAGCAAGATCTCGCTAAGCGGTCCTACGACGCTGGTTATCAACTCGGTAAATCAACCCAGGGTTTCTCTGTCCGGCTGAGAGCGCGTTCACGTGAAAGGGGCGGGGTTAGCAACATTTGACCAATCAAAAACATGGAGAAGCGGTCTGACAGCGCAGCGGCATACTTCATTCAGGAAAAGTAAACTATCACAAATATGACAAAGTTAAACTTTAAACATCAATGACTTAAGCAGATAAACCAGGATAAAAACCAAATAGCTGCACCTGCAAGGTGAATACAGAACAGCTTGTAAAAAAATAAAATAAACTACAGAGTGTTTGAATACGTACATTAACAGGTTTATGATATCACTGCACCACTAAGACACGAGTGGATCTGACTTTTCTTCAACTTAATTTGTTGCTTAAAATAATACTTCTGCATACAGTATGTGACACTGTGAGTGTTGCACGGCCAGATACGGCTCAAGCTAGCTGACTCAGATAAGGAAATAGATTATATATTATGATATCATATGATCGATGATGTGATTGATGATGTGATATGAATGATAAGTGCGACACGTCGGCGTCTTCCCTGCATTCGGAACATAACCTGGGGGGTATACTACGAAGCAGGATTTTCGTTTAGCAAGATAACTTCTGGGATTTCCGGTACTACGAAGCTGGTTCACTAGATCTCCATGGTGACTTATCCTGGAACCTAGTCTGTGCTCCGAAGCAGGATATGTTCCAGGATAAGAGATCAACACAGTGAAAGCACCACGCCTGCTAGTAGTAATATTCATCCCGCTTCCATCACATTAGTATGCATAAAAAAGTGACAGATCACACCTCCCCCAATTATGCAAATGAGCTAAGTCCCGCCTCCCCTTTGATCGAGGTGTGAGATCTCAAGAAGGTGTGATATCCCAAGTAGGTGTGAGATCCGTCGATAGGAGGGGGGTGATGTGTATTCACAGGTGTGAAAAGCCCCCACTGTTGCGCCTTATGGTGTATAATAAAAAAAATATTAAAAATATTAAAAATTTAAATTTAAATAAAAAAAAAAATATGCTGTTTCAATCACATTAGTATGCATAAAAACTGACAGGTGGGCCCGCCCCCAAGTGTGTGTGTGTGTGTGTGTGTGTGTGTGTGTGTGTGTGTGTGTGTGTGTGTGTGTGTGTGTGTGTGTGTGTGTGTGTGTGTGTCTGCCATCTTATCACTAGACAGAGGGGGGATGTCATTTAAAAACACTTACCTTACACTTGTATTTGTTCTCTCTAAAACACACAGTGTCTGTAAAGGTGTCCTGCCATCTCTCTCTGTTTCTGCTGATGTGTAAAATATACAAAATAACGTTTTATATACTTAATCTCTTGTTAAAAGGTGATGAAGTTTGCAGCGTAAGCCAGCCATCAGT